TAAATGTCCCTCAGCATCCATTTCTTCTTCCTCCTTCTCCCCATTTTGGTTGCTTGAGTAATAAATGTCTTCTCTCTTCCTGAATTTATAGTAAACTTTTTGCAGCCAGGAATTGCATCTAAAAAGAATCTCTTACTCTTTATGGCTTAATAGACATAGTGTGCTGCACCCCGTGATGCTCCACAAATATTACCGATGGCAGGGATGACATTTCAGTGGTGAACGCCTGTCAAGAAAATGCTATGCAAGAGGGATTTTTATGGACAGCAGCACAGTAATGGAATACAGATCTGCAGTGCATCACCAAACATTGACCTAAAACCAAGCAACTCTGGAAAATTATTGACAAAGCTCGGGTTGCAAACCTTGGAAGAAGCAGGAAGCTCTAAAATGGACATATGTCAATGCCACTCAACAACATCTCGGCATAGCTGAGAAGGTTTGCCGTCCATCTATCAACCAGCTAATCAATCTTTATTGAATGCCAGCAAGGAAAAAAAAATGTGATGCTAGATCCTGATACCTCATAGAAACTCAGTTATATCTGTCGTGCACGTTATTGATGCTCACTAAATACGTATTATTTTCTACCTTTTTACAATTTGGGTTATTGCCACTATTTCTATTTCTATTATTATTATTATTATTATTATTATTATTATTATTTTACATGACGATCTGTATTTCTCTGATTGTAAGCCAGGAGGAAATTATACTCCTTTTGCAAATTTCTTAAATGTTTCAAATATATCCCTGAAGCTCAGATACTGCATGTAATTATTAAATGATTCACAGTAGAATAAATATACTTGCTCTGCTTAAAAAGGGATAATCTTACAAAATCTAATTAAGCACAGGGCAATAAATTTTAATATACATATCCACTAAAAGCAGATCTGCATAGGTCTGAAGCTTGCTTTCATAGAGTCCTTGGTTTGGAGCTTTTTTTTTTTTAAATTTTAAATATGTTCTTAAAGAAATGTATACTTGAAGGAAAACAAGTTAACAGATAAGTGCAGAGGGAATGATACTATGGTTCAAGTGTCAGAAAAGCCCAGGAGAGACACGCTGCTCTTGAACTTGATTTCCCAACCAAGAGGAACATTTTATTTACTTGCTTGAGAGTACCCCTTGTAGTGCACTTTATTTTCTACTTTTCACTGCATTGAGAACACTGATGGAGAGCTGCTTCCTTTTCCAGTACACCAATTGCTTCTGAGCGGTAACTGGCCTTTGTGGGAGGCAGTGTGTCTGGAATAGCAATAGCAGCAAGCCCATTGCTGGTCAGCATCAGTCAGCCCTTTATCAGAGTTTCGGCATGCTGAAACAAATATTTCTCGAATCCCAAGTCTGCTGAACAGAGATGGGGCATCAGATATGGTGCTCATGCCCAGAAGGGAACACCTGAAGAAACTGACATATGTTTGTGGCTGCACAGTTGGCCAGAGGCACATGCTAGATTGTCAGCAAACCCTGTCAAAGGCAAGTGCTGGGCTCAAGGCTCTGGGAGCCACTGGGAGCAACATTCTTTGTGCGATAGAAGGATGGTTCTCATCTATGCCTCTGGCCCAGTTTTCTACACAACCACAGTATCTCTTCTTCTCCTTTCTCCTAACAACCTGTCCAAATCTTTCATTCCCACTCTTCCATGAAGCATTCTTAGAATGCAACCTCATGCATCAGTCCCTAAATCCCAGACCAGTTATCCAGGCTACCTTGTGAATACGTCTGCACCTCCTGACTCCCCTTCTTCGCCTAAATTGTACCCTTACCCTGGAATACACTCTCCCACAACTCTACCTATTACCTTTATTAAAATCTTAGACCAAATGCCATCTCTTAAGGTTGTGAATGTAATGATTCCCTCACTAGTGTCAAATTCTGTCTCCACCACTTATTAGCTGTGTGACCTTGCACAAGTTAATTAAGCTTTCTGTGCCTCAGTTTCCAAAATGGGAATAATAATGATAATACCTATTTCAGATCATTATGATGAGAATTAATTGAATTAATACAATTAAACACTTAAAACAGGGCGTTAAACATAGTAACTGCTTAATAGGCATTAGCTTTCAATTTTTGTTTTGTTTTGCTTTTAGCTTCTGCTACACTTAGCACTGTAGTGATTTGGGCATCTGTTGCCTCCTCAAATGACATTACAAGTTCCTCAGCATTTTGTACACCAAAACTAATCGTTTCATTAATACCAAACTAAAGTCCCAATTCTGTTTATTACCTCTTTTTATGCCCTACTTTTTAAAAATGTACTTCTTACTATGGAAAATATTGAAGATTTACAAGAGAAGAGTGAAATCTCATGTACCCATTCCCCAACTTTAACAATTATTAACACATGTCCAATTTTATTTCCTCTGTACCCCCAGTAATTCTCCTCCTTTTTGTTCCAAAACCTAAGTTACGTTGAGGAGAACACCAGGCATCATTTTTCATCCCAGGGGGAATTGTTAATAAATGTATCCTACACTCATGGGAAGGAGGCTCTATTCAAATTCTCCTTGTGCCAAGCAGGAATTATTCCCAGGACAGACCCAACCTTTCAGGCTATAGATCCTTCCAATAATGTGGGCTTGAACTTTGATCCACCTTCCTCCCATAATCATTTACAGTAATAGTTATGTTTTGAGGGGCCATGATTTGAATCATGGCACCATTCAATCTTTGTATAATAATAACAAGCCATGGTGGATGGAGATCTGTGAAAATGACTTGATAACTGAGAAAAGTCCTATTTATTGGTCAAAGTGGACACTGTGTCTTGAGTCATTGGCTCCTTAAGAGGTAAGCATCATGCTTGCCTGACTCACTATGCCTGTGTCTCAGGCAATTGGACATTTGGGTATTTTTACTGTTGACAATAAAGAATTTCATTGCACTAAGCACTAATTAGTTTTGTTAGAAGATTTTTACTAATTTAAAATTGTACTTTCAAGAACACATTTGCAAATGAAAATATTTAAGATAGAAATTATTATCATCTCATTTTTTTAATTAAAATTGATTGGGGTGACAATGGTTAGTAAAATTATGTAGGTTTCAAGTGTATAATTCTGAAATACAACATCTATATATCACATTGTGTGCTTACCACCCAGAGTCAGTTCTCCTTTCATCACCATATATTAGACCCCCTTTACCCTCATCATCTCCTTTTTAAAAAAAGAATATTCTTATAGCATATCACTCAGGAAGAGTTGCTTAGGGGAATGTTGTGTTGGGTTCAGAAAAATGGGGTAAGGGCAAAAACCATTTTGTTGGTTATATTTTTCTTCCTGGATCAATGCATCAATGATTAATTTAGTGCCTACTAGCTGTAGAGAGATGGCAAGTAGCTAGCACATGTGTTGCTACTGCCCTCTCTGAGGCCATATTGAGAGCTGGTAACCAATCCTGCTAAAGCCAAGCATCCCCTCATGGTCCTTCTCAGCAATGTTCCAGACTGCAATTTGCAATTATGGATCACCCCTGGCTTAGTGACATCTATTTAGTAATGTCACATCCCTGTGTCTGTAAATGGTTTATTTGCTAAGGGTATGCTAAGGTCCAGGGTTATAAGTCATGGGGGTAAGAGACCCTTCATGTCAAAAGTTCTCAGGTGTTTTTATATATCCTTATGCCTTAAACACACACTTCTAAACATTGCATGATCATTTTAAAGATGTAGATGAAGTAGATAGACAGTAAATTGTGTTATTTGACATCAGCAATCATCTTTTTAAAATGTTACAAATACGAATTGTATTTGTTTCATTATTCTTTTCTGCATTTTCAGTAATTGCCAAGCCCCCAACCTGTGTGTCCTGTCTGCACTCCAGACATTCTCAGATCAACTTGCTAATTGTAGGGACAGAGTCTAAGCTACCTGGTCCACTGGGGACCTGTCTCTGGCCAGTCTCTGACTGTCATGAATCTTGTCTTTTATAATAAAAATGATACGGATAAAAGAATGGTACAAGTTGGAATTACAGACATTTATGAAACTTGGGTTCAAGTGTTGGCTTTGACATATATTGGGTTGTCGGAAAAGTCATGATGTATTTTTCTGTTTTCATTGCAAAAATACGTCATGACTTTTCTGACAACCCAATACTAATTGTTTGACCAGGGAAGTCACTCAACATTTCTGAACCTATTTCCTTATCACCAAACTGAGAATGATAACATTTGTTTTATGTACCATGAGTTTATCATGAGAAGTAAAAGAAGTGAGTAAAGTGCTGTCCACATAATATATTTTTATACCATTAATTGAAGTTCATAATGTCTCATAAACTTCACCTGATAACATCAATAATAGGGAAGCTCTAGGTTTAAAAAGTAGAGTACTCTTTGGTTGAGCAAGCCATTCATCTTTATTTCTTGATATTTCTTAAATGCAATCAAGCATTTAGGCAAAAACTTTACTTGGTGAAAAAAAGAAAGAGACTGCATTTACATGTTTAGTAGCCAAATAAGCTGAAGAAAGTGGATGGACTCTTAGATAGTTTTATATGTTTGGATGGCAAGCAATGCTTCAAATGTCTGCCAATTTCACTTACCATTTAGTTAAAAGGGACTATATGTATTTTATAAGGTTATAACAGAAACATTTCAAAAACATACAGATGAAGACCCGTGGGGGCAAAAAAATTTTCTCTGTGATAGTTTCAACCAGTCCAGTGAAATCGGCATGTTTTAAATCACCTTGTACTGGGTTGAGAAAGGATTTCTCATTATTTCTATTTTCTTCTATCTTTAATAAAAAGTCAAATAATTCCTATTTCAATAGAACAAAACAGTCAAAAGATAGTGCTAGAGGAGCACTGCAATATTTTTAAAAATCCAAGAATTTAGAAAATGTCGCAGAGAAGAAAAATCACAATACAATTTAGTGAAACATTTAGATTACTTTTGCTGGTTGATATTCAAGCTTTAAAAACAGAGCAAAGAAGAATAAAACCCCCAAACCTAAAATCAAAGCTACCCCATGAGGCTCAGTTTACCTGTTAAACCAGTCATCTGTGTATCGAGGGTAGGGATAGGGGTCGTTGCTACTGAAGTCATAACTTGCTTCCGCATTCTGAAAAACACAAGATGTCTCACTGGGTTCAACAAAGCCAAAGGAACAGGCAAGAGAAAATGCTGCTGAGACATGACTGTTTCATGTTTATTGTCCCTCCCTTGTGTGTTGCGTTAATGTTCTGTCCTGCACCAGCCCTTGCAAAATGGTAACAGAGCTGAAGCATGTCCTTGGAGCTTTCTATCCTCACTTTATCCTCTTTTCCAGGTTTCCTCATCCTATCCTATTTTAAGTCCTCAAAGAGTTAGCAAATTTGAGTACTATGCTCTCTAAGATGGTCTTCATTTTAAGCTGTGTTACCCCTTGTGGGTAAATAGGATTTAAACATAATCCACGGCTTATATAAAGCTTCTCTGGACTGATGGACAGAATGTTCTAGTTCTTGTGTCACAAGTGAGATGACCTCTAGAGTTTTCTTGCTTTATGCAGAAGATTCACTTCCAGTTCCCTGCTTCAGATTGACTTATAGCTTATCTCCTTTACACTCATGGGTGCTAACCCCTGGCCAACCCCCTAATATTGGCCACAATATCAACCTCCGTTATTACTCAATTTACTGTTTTGTTGACAGGAACCACATGAGCTGTTATAAAGTTACAGCAGGAACACTTTTCAAATACATGCAATACATGAAGAGACTTTTCCAAATATGAGAATACAATGGTGACATCCCTGCCCTTGTGCAATTTATAGCCTGGCCGGAGGACAGACATCAATCAAATGATTAAACAAATAAATATGCAATTACAAACTGGGATTACTATTAAACCCTACAGTATTCAGTTAAAAGTTTAAAGTCTATGCAATCCAGCACCTCCATTTTTTCCCACTTTCTTTCCCCACAGAAATGAATCATGTATTCACTTAAATTCTCTTTAAGTGATTTCATGTTTTAATTTTTCTATGATGGGAGATGGTCCACCACCATTTGAGGACCTAAATCCATTCCTTCCCCATTGCCTTCTCTGCTTGCCCAGGGTTGCTGAGCTCTGCGAAGCTCCTCACTCCTCATTCCATTCTTCTCTCGTTTGGTTTTGAGATTATCAAGAAAGACCCCAGATGGCTTCCTGTCCACAGTATACACTGGGATAAGAAGCACGGGTTAGATGCCTATTGCACATTGGGAATTTCTTGATTCCATGGGTCCGGAGACATTTTCAGGAATTGTGCTCCTTTATAAGGTAAAACACTTTAGTTTGTGACTCACTCTAGTCTCTAAACCTAATGTAATAGTAGCATGATGTTTTTAAGAAAAATTTGACTAATTCCATTAGTTTGTGTTTCCATTTGTTGGGTGACAGAGTTGTAATTATCCCAATTGTAATACTAATTTACTTAAATGTTATGCTTGGGGCCAAAGTAATTGGTTTAAATTTTTTTAATTCTGAATTTTTTAGCTGTATTGTGGTATAATTGATATACAAAAAATTCCACACATTTATATACATATCTTGATGAGTCTGGGCATACGAGTTTGCATACGCCTATGACACCATCACCACAACCAAGGTACTAAACATTCCCATCACCTCCAAAAATTTCTTTTTGTTTGTGTGTGTGCATGTGTGTGTGTGTGTGTGTGTGTGTGTGTGTGTGTGTGTGTGTAGGTATGTGTGTGTTTTGGTAAGAACATTTAATATGAGATTTATCCTCTTCACATATTTTAAAGCACACAATATTTTATTGTTGACCATGTTGCACGGCAGAGCTTTAGAACTTATTCATTTGCATAACAGACATTTTATACCTTTGAAAAACAATTCCTCATTTCCTCTCCCCCTAACATTTTATTCAATATTTGGACCAGTCATTATACCTTGGGTCATGAATACATCTATCTTTTATTTCACAATCTAGGTTTTCCTTCAACACCTGGTCTTTAGAACCTCTTCCTCTCTCCACAGGCCATAATTATTGTCAAGTCCACAGTTCTGCTCCTCCATTTAGATCCCAAACTACTTCCACATACCTTTAAAAGTTTAATTCTCTATCTGGTGTATAATCCCTGCCTTTGGGAGACCCTTTCAGATTTGGCGTGTTTTATTTTTTTCTTGACCTTGAGATATTTGAATCTCAGTTCTTTTGAGGGATACTATTTTGAAGTAGTAATTTATTTATGTTCCGTTACCCCTTATTTTCCCTGAATTTTTGAAACAAGAGCATTCTTAGTTAGAATTAGTAGGGTAGGAATATCAAGAGAAGCACAAGTTAATACTTTTTCTTTGGGATTTGAAAACTGAAGTTGAAACTTAAGCAATACATTTGGAAGACTATTTGCTAAGCTTGATTTGTTGCTCCATAGAGATTAAAATTCCCTGGTCGAAGATGAGTTGGATGGAAAATTCAGCATGAGTAGTCATTGTGGAGTCCTTAAAGATGCCCCCAGTGCTACCTGTTTCTTCTGAGCTGTGTTCTTGGAGTGGGATGGGGGTGTGTTGGAATGTCCAACTTCAGAGAAGTCTGGGACTCATCCTTGGACACAAACCTGCAGATTAGAAGTGGCTCTATGAGGCATCTTAGCTAAGGGGGTTGGAGTGGCCTCACTATGCATTCCCATGACCCTCAGCATGAAGCAAGGAATAGCAGAATATTCTGTGGGAAGCTGAGATTGGTGAGAATAAGACAGTGAGAACCAGCTGGCCTAGATATGTATGAGGTCAGTACAATGGTGATACAGCATTCAGGCAGGGTCTGCATGAACTGATTTGCCAGTAAACATGGGGATGCCTAGAGCAGGTGAGTCCAGGGTGGACAGATGATGAAACACGAGCACCAGGACACTTGTCTCCCACTCCTTAATGCTGTGTTCATCCTTTGAAGCTTGAGGGCAATTCTGGAGACATAAGGGTAGGAGAAAAACATGAGTTGACCAAGGTCAAGTTTCTACCATCAGTGCAATTAGGATGTCAGATAGAATTAAATTCTATTAGAGAAAACTAAAATCAGAACTTTGTGCACCTTTGTGTTTGCTGCCTGAACAATTGACCAACTTCATGTGCTTTCCACTCTGGCTCACCTTTCTGGTTTATGATCATCACCTGTGGTCTGGGCTGAGGCTTTCTGGTGCTCATTCCTGATTCTGGAGAAAATGTCTTGCCCTGAGATGAGTTGGGGCTTATGAGAAGAATTAGACAGCTCTGACAGCAGAACCATTAGCCAAGAATCCACGGAACTCTGAGACCACTTTTACAACAAAGACTATGTATTGTCTAGGGTCAAATTTGCCTTTGAATATTGAAATATATGATACCTTAGAGTTGAAAGTATTTTGTTGTCTTTACAATTAATTTGATGACTAATGCTTAACTCCTTGCATAACAGTCTATACTGAGTATTAAAGAAGAAAACCAGTTGCTGTTATTGTTTGGCTGTATGTTTTCTGGCTAAAAATCAAATAGTTTATAGCAAAAAAGAACAATAAACAATATTTTGCAAGCATTCTGTTTATACTTTTATAGCCAAAAGCGAATCATTTATTGATTTGAATTACAATGTTGTCTTCCATGAAATTATTTGTGTACAGGAATAAATTAAAGTGGCGTTGAATTATCCTGGAATTTTCTAAGATAGCCATTAACATGGACATTTGGGGGGAAGTGGTGTCTCTGTAAATTTAATGCTCTGGTCATCCTAGGTTAAGCCAGAATCTTGTTTTGGTTTTTACCCTTCTAAAACTTCTTCCTAAAATTCATTAGTTTGTTTTATTGCTTGAGAAAATACTAGGTATTTTGTGAGCATAATTTAATCACTGATGATTCAGAATCAGGATGATTCAGAGTCATCATTAAGAACTTGAATTATCTTTGTACCATCACACAGAAAGTGAGAAGATTGGGCTGAATCCAAAGTGACCTCAGGGCTTCCCTGGAAGTTATTTCTGGAAGAAACTTCTGCAAAAGGCTCATCTTCTTTCATGAGTTGAGTGCAGGGGAAAAAAAAATAACCTCTGGTATTTAATAGTTCTAAGGCTTAATTTCTGAATATTTGGATGCATAGTGAGAAAAAAACTAGCTCTTACCAAGGAAGTTTAATAATTACAGGTTTGGCCATTGTTTGGGCTATGTACTTTTCCATCAGATGCCCTGCCCACACACTAAGAAAGGATAAAGGACTTGCTTATTTTCATGAAATCTTCTGACTTTTAAAATGAGGCACTGCATTTGTGCGGCCATCAATGGCACAGTCCAACAAATGGTACACAGCAGGCTCTAGGGCTGGTCTCACAGTGAAAGCTGGTGGTGAACCCAATAGTAACAATGCCCATTGCTTGAACATTCTCAACAAACTTCTGAGACCCTTGAGACTGAACCCAGTTCTGGCATTGCCAACTCTACCCGCAAATCTGGAATATAATGCCTCTGGGACCAGTGGACTTTTCTTGCTGAGATGCACAAGGTAAATCTGTCTTCAGGCATCAGCTTGGAGCAGGTAAAGGAAGAGAAACATCAAAGTCAGACAGATCTGGTTTTGAACCTAGACTGGACTTGGAAATTTTCTTATTTTCTGGAAACTGTGGTTTCCTTATCTTTAAAATGTAGATGATAAAACTGTAATTACTTGGCTGCTGTGAAGATAAAATGAAGGAATAGATATAAGCTGGCAGCACATTGCCCAACAAAGTGTGTGTGTTCTCTCACTTCTTACTTTCACTTTTGTGCCATTCATTTTCTTTGATCACCTATGGCAAAGGTGACAAAATATGCCTACAGGCCAAACCTGGCCCGCCACCTGTTTTTGTAAATAAAGATTTTTTTGAATGTAACCATTTCCATTTGTTAACAGATTGCTTATGGATGCTTTCACACTACAACAGCAGACAAATAGCTGTGACAGAAACCCACAAATCTTTAAATATTTACAATATTTTATGGGAAGTATTTGCCAAGCCTTGACTGACATCCTAGGCCTCTTGGGCCTCCAGGCTGCCCTCTGATAACCTGGGGGTCTACATTAGAGCATGTCACCCAGCCCTTGCCTTCCTGAAGAGCCCCCTTTGCTCT